CCTGCCGGGCGGGAGGGAGCCGGACGGGCTGCGGCAGCTGACTGTCGCCTCGCCTTGCTTGCTCCTGCTCCTTCCTCCTCCGGCGTTCACTCCCAGGCTTGTCGCAGTGTAGCGTCCCCACCCTCCCAGCGTCTTGTCTCCTAGCAACCAGATCCTAGGAGCCTGATCTTAGGTGACCAACCCTGAGTCCAGAAGAAAGGGGGATATATAGGAGATAAAAGAACCTTGATTAAAGAATGGATGAAATTGTTCTTGGTGCAGATCATTTGGTACACTGCTTAGGTAGAACGGGAAGATCGCATGATGAGGGACACCAAAAGTATGTTTTAGACCAAGGTCTTTGGGTAAGGACCTGAAGTGTCTTTACCAGGAGGTAGCTCTTTAAAAATGTAAATAGTTCTGGATTACAAATTCGGTTTTCATACATTAATAAGGTGTGTGTGGGTATGGGGGTGTGTGTGTGTTATTGTAAGGAACACTACTGTTGGGCATCTAGTAAAATGCAAACGGCTCAATATTGTAGGGTAACTGCTACATGTCAATATTTCTATCTAATTTCCACTTGGTCTATTCTGATAACCAAAATTAAATATTAGGATTAGAAAGAACAGAAAAAGTAAAGCCTTATCCAAATGAATAATTACTATGAGATCTCATGATTAAGTAGAGATCAAGTGGTTCACTGTACAGAATGTCAGGAGTTTTTTCCAATTGTATCATCCTGTGACTTTCTGCAGATCTTTTACGATTTTTGTTCCATAAAGATATTAAAGTGGCTGGGTGCGGTGGCTCACACCTGTAATCCCATAATCCCAGCATTTAGGGAGACCAAGACGGGAAGATAGCTTGAGCACAGCCTGGGCAATAAAGTGAGACCCTGTCTCTACAAAAAAAAAAAAAAAAAAGGTTTTTTTAAAGTTAACTGGTCATGGTGGCACATGCCTGTGGTCCCAGCTACATAGGAGGCTGAAGTGGGAGGATTGTTTGAGCCCAGGAGGTCAAGGCCACAATGAACTGTTTGCACCACTGCACTCCAAGCTGGGCAACAGAGTGAGACTCTGTCAAAAAAAAAAATTAAAGTTAGGCAAGTGTTGTATCACAAGATATTAGGTTAGGTTAGGTAAATTCTTTTTTTATTTTTTTGAGACGGAGTCTCACTCTGTTGCCCAGGCTGGAGTGCAGTGGCACCATCTCGGCTCACTGCAACCTCCACCTCCCAGATTCAAGGGATTGATTCTCCTACCTCAGCCTCCTGAATAGCAGGGATTACAGGCGCGTGCCACCAGGTCCAGCTAATTTTTTGTATTTTTAGTAGAGACGGGGTTTCACCATGTTGGTCTTGAACTCCTGAACTCAGGTGATCCGCCCGCCTTGGCCTCCCAAAGTGCTGGGATTACAGGCATGAGCCACCACGCCTGGCCAGGTAAATTCTTTTTTTTTTCTTTTTGAGACAGAGTTTCGGTCTTGTCACCCAGGCTGGAATGCAATGGCACGATCTCAGCTCACTGCAACCTCCGCCTCCCGGGTTCAAGCGATTCTCCTGCCTCAGCCTCCCGAGTAGCTGGGATTACAGGTGTGCACCACCATGCCCAGCTAATTTCTGTATTTTTAGTAGAAACGAGGTTTCACCATGTTAGCCAGGCTGGTCTGGAACTCCTGACCTCAGGTGATCTGCCCTCCTTGGCCTCCCAAGGTGCTAGGATTACAGGTGTGAGCCACCATACCCAGCCCCAGCCAGGTAAATTCTTAAAGAGAATCTACTTGCCCTCTACTTCCCCTCTTTCTTCTTTTACATAGGCTGGTACTCAGTTGTGATGGCGGTACTTTACAACTATGAAAACAAGAATAATGCATAAGGGGCTGGGCATAGTAGCTCGTGCTGTAATCCCAGAACTTTGGGAGGTCGAGGAAGGAGGATCACTTGAAGTTAGGAGTTCGAGACCAGCCTGGTGAAACCTCATGTCTACTAAAAATACAAATATTAGCCAGGCGTGGTGGCGGGTGCCTGTAATACCAGCTACTCTGAGGCTGAGGGGGGAATATTGCTTGAACCTGAGAGGCAGAGGTTGCAGTGAGCTGAGATGGTGCCACTGCACTCCAGCCTGGGCCACAGAGCGAGATTCCATCTCAAAACGACAACAAAAAGAATAACACATAAGGGACTGTCGAGCATAATATAGAAGGAAACTGGGCCCTGAATTACCGTCCGAAGCAGAGAGTACCTCTGGTCTGTTATATGAGAGAAAAATGTTTATCTTAATTACTATATTTTTTAGTCTGTTACAGTAGCTTAGTGTGTTCCCTAGAAGAGAAAGTTGGTCCCTGAAAATGGTGTGCTACCTACCATAACAAAGATCTAAGATACATATGGCATTGGTTAGCAGGTGGAAACATATTGCAGGCCAGAAGGCTAGTGACTGTTCCCAAATGTATTGGGGGAAAATGTCACCCATATTAACTTTGAAGGCAGATCGTCAAGCCCATATATAGCTCTGAGGAAAGTGTCTAGAAAAGGCCAGAATGTGAGTTTGTGTTGGCTACCATTCCTTGCTTTTAGCAAGGTTCAACAAAACGACACTAAGTCAGTTAACCAGTTTGCTAGCCTGGACAACATGGTGAAACGCTGTCGCTACAGAAAATACAAAAATTAACCAGGTGTGGTGGCGTGTGCCTGTAGTCCCAATTACTCGGGAGGTTGAAGCAGGAGAATCATTTGAGCCTGGGAGGTTGGGGCTGCAGAGAGCTGCAATGACACCACTGCAACCTAGTCTGAGTGACAGAGCAAGACCCTGTTTCAACAAACAAACAAAAACACACTAGTTTGTAAACAGAGATTGAAGACAATAAAACTGTACTGGACCCACTCCATTACATCTGCTCTGCTCCTTTTGTTGATCCACTTACTAGTAAGCATCTTAGGATCAATTTGGATACTTACTGTCTCAAGCTTTCTCGTTATTCCCTTTTCTAGAACAACATGCATTTATGAAATGATAGCTAGAAAGGATTCTTGAGAGGCCAACTTCTTCAATTTTTTCCAATTTAAGTCTCAAATACAGAGAAAGTTTAAGTGACTTGTCCAAGGCCAAATGGCCAACTCATTAGGTTCAATGACTTTTGGTCAAGGACGAATCTTTCTTCCCCATTGTACAGATGTTCCTCCTTGAAGCCGTTTATGCAGAATGGACAATTTCACCTAAGGCTTTCATCCCATTCCCCCTTTTCACCAAGTCTAACCCTTTTGTGTTCAGAAGCTCATCTATTCCTCTATTAGTTTCAGTACAGTCTAAATTGTTTTAAGAAAAAGACCCAAAACACAGTGGCTTAAACACAATAAAAGTTTCTCAAATTACAGAGGTGGGTGGTCCAGGGCTGATACAGCTGCTTTGTCAAACTTGACAGACAACTTGTCTCTCAGTGTCTGAAATGGCTGCAGAATTTTCACTCTTACCTCAACAGGAGAGGCAGGGCAAGGGAAATGCATGCTCCAGTACTTTTTAAAAATCTGTTTTTAGGCCGGGCGCAGTGGCTTAAGCCTGTAATCCCAGCACTTTGGGAGGCCAAGGCGGGCGGATCACGGGGTCAGGAGATCGAGACCATCCTGGCTAACACGGTGAAACCCCGTCTCTACTAAAAATACAAGAAAATTAGCCGGGCGAGGTGGCGGGTGCCTGTAGTCCCAGCTACTCGGGAGGCTGAGGCAGGAGAATGGCGTGAACCCGGGGGAGGGGGGGAGCGGAGCTTGCAGTGAGTCGAGATCGCGCCACTGCACTCCAGCCTGGGGCACAGAGCAAGACTCCGTCTCAAAAAAAAAAAAAATCTATTTTTAAAATTGACAAAAATTGTATATATTTATGGCATACAACATACTGTTCAAAATATGTGTAGTGAAATGACTAAATCAAGCTGATTAACATATGCATTACCTCACATACTTGTGAAAACACTTAAAATCTCTCTTTGCAGTTTTCAAGTACACATTGTTGTTTGTTTTTGGAGTCAGGGTCTCACTCTGTAGCCAGGCTGGAGTGCAGTGTTGTGACCAGGGGTCACTGCAGCCTTGAACTCCTGGGCTCAAGTGATCCTCCTGCCTCAGCCTTCCTAATAGCTGGGATTACAGGCACTGCATTGTTACTAACTATAGTCTCCATGTTCTACAATAGATGTGTTGAACTTCATTCTTAAAGTTTTGTATGCTGTTACCAGTAACTCCCCAATCCCCGCACCACCTATCTCCTGGTAACTGTCATTCTACTCTCTGACTTTAACTTTTTAGATTCCACATACGAGATCATGTGGTATTTGTCTTTCTGAGCCTAGCTTATTTCAT